GGATATTCTCTTCCTGTGGCTATCTTTAGATTCCTACTGCATTTTCATTAATATGACATAACGTTGGACTACACTAATACCTTATGGATGCAGGTGTGTGGTTAGGACATCTACATGGTTAGCAGGAGCTTAGGAAGAATAACAGGAAAAGAGAAAGCCCTGTGTGGGACAGGATATAACTTTCTGGCCAGCCAGAAATAGGAAGAAAGAGAGAGATTGTGAACTTCAGCAAAGTAACTATAGACACTTCTACATCCTAGAAGAATTAGAAAGGATTTACCAGCATAAAGCTATGGATCTAAACTACCCAGAGGTGTTGGGTGGCCCATGATTCCTAGAAAGCTTGCATGTGAAGCACATGGTGAGGCACAAGCACTTGAACATGTTTTCAGAAGTGAATTGAAGGCATGGTACTCGCTGAATGTTACAGTTGTGGGAAAATAAAAAGCAACATTCTCTCTAAGCCTGCATATGGTGAGCTGAGTGGGCTTTGCCTCTGAGGGATATCAGCAGTTCTCTATGCCTTCCTGTTGGATATATGTGTTGTTATAGAGTTAGCTATTTTCAAACTTCTCAATACGGCTTTGGGCAAGAACACACCTCCAGGAGTGTTGTATCTATTTTCAGGAGTGCTGGGAAAAATAAATATGCTATCTAACAATATTTCATGACTCTAATTAACCAGGAGGCACAAAACGAGGGGCTGGACTGGGGAAGGCCAACACAAGGCAAGGCTCCAGTATGGGCCTGACGTGGAGGCTGCGTTTGGGAAAGGGCTGGACGCATGCATCTGAGGACAAGATGTGAGCAAAACAGCACAGATCCAAGCTTTGGCCTTGGCCTTGAGCACACCACCACAGCCTGGCCCCAGCTGGACTGGCCTTCCTTATCCTCCACCCTCTGCATCTCTGGTCAGGGCAACAAGAATGGCAGACTCAGTGACTTTAATAGAGAAAACCCTAGAATGGAAGCACCAACAGTCTTTACAGTTCAAACATTTGCTGCCCTATCTCGCACCCTCTCTCCTCTACCCGCAGTGGCCCTGCTGTTCTCAGCTAAGTGGGGAAAGAGTATCACAGGTTCCTAATCCCCACAGCAGTCTTCCCTGAGGAAGTAAACCTCTTAAAGTGAGTCATGGCATCATCCAAAGCACAAGTCATGGAGCTCTTCCTTGAAGCCTGACAGGCACGGTGACCTCTGGACTCGGGCTCTGAACACATTGTTTGCTTTGCAGCTATGAGGCTGGAACGTCATTCTAAACTAAATGACCATAGCGCACTGAGTACTAATTTGGATCCATAAGACTTGGCAAAATCAGTCTTTTTCTTCACTTATGATAACAGTAAAATATCAAAAAAAGTCCTTAAAACAGTCACACTGGACTGGACATTGGAGGGCAACACAAGATGTCGGGAGGAACCTTTGTTTTTCTCTTGAGGGAGTCAAAGAATATAATACTGAAGAGACCTTAAAGACCATGCAGTCCAACCTACTCATTTCCCAGACGAGAAAAGTGAAGCCCAGAGAACAGATGGGCTGCCTCCTCTAGTCATATGGGGCTTAAAAATATATATGTATATTTATTTTATATATATATGTATGTATTTTTTTTTTTCATGAGCTTTAGTGAAAGTGACCAGTGTTATCTCATTTCCTGGCTTCTTAAATCCAGGATCCAGCCAAATCTAACTTTTATTTATAGCCTGAATATACCTTATGCTTTCCTACCTCCATACCATTGCCCTCATCACTTGGAGTGCCATCCTGCACTTCTCCAACTTCCCAACGTCCATCTTTTGAAATAATTTTTACCTATCAGTGATTAGCTCAAATATGCCATCTCTTAGATAAAAATCTCTCTGCCGAAACAATTTTTTTTTCTGTCAACAACAATAGCTACAACACAATAACAGTACTTATATATGTATTACGGACTGGGCAGCTTACTTATATTTTATCTCATTTAGTTCTCAAAATAGCCATATGATATTGGTATATCTTTAGTGACATCATACAAATGAGGAAACTGAGGCATAGAGAGTTAAAGTTGCATGTCCAGGGACACTCAGCTAGTGGGTGGCTTTCATGATTTATTATAAATATGCTTTGTATCATCATTATGCTGATGAGAGGAAACAAGATTCTTTAATAGGATTTTTTTCCCTAACTAACTCCTCCCCCCATACCAAAACACAGGATAACACATGGGGATTGAAATCTTCTAGTTAATGGGTACATAATCCCTGAATTTTCAAACCTTCTAAGGTTAAAGTTTGGCCTAAAGTAGAAGGCACTGCTACCTGAACTTTAATTTCAGGACGTAGACATGTAGAAAGTGTTGAAGATTGCTCTTGCAGGATGTGAAGTTCAATGATTGTGTATCTCTAACCTGATGTGTGTTGACACCTATTCAGGGTTAATACCGCTACAGGTCAGCAGTAGAAATAATCTTTTGCACATGTCACAGAAGGCAGATGTACCCTCTACTTACCGGAGATTTGATCGGAGCCCCTGGGCTTCAACATAACATTTTGGGCACATGTGCATCTTTTTTAGAGACTTTCACAACCTATTCATAGACTCTCCAAGGGAGTCTATGAATATCAAATATTAAGAATGACCTTCACTGTTTTAGAGATATTGCGGAAGGCAGAAGAGCTCCATGACTACGATGGCATAAGGAGCCTTTCTGAAAAGATAAGAAGAATCCATGGTAGGATGAAACAGTTTCTCTCACATTTAAATAAAATATTTCTTTTGGGGAATTTGATGAGAGGGCATCCTAGACAGTCATGGTACATTTTGCCAGGTGTTAAGGCAGTTAGGTGCTAATGGGTCTCATTCCATACTACTGACCCTCCAGCATTTGATAGTGGACAAATGTGAGACTTAGACACATGGAGTGACTTCTCTGAAGCCACAGAGATCAGAGCTGTGACAAATGAAAATTCAGCTCTGATTCAGTTTCATGGTCAGTCCGCATTAGTTCAGTTAACATCCTATTAGAATGATGACTGTTACAAGAAAGGGGCAACACAAAAACCCAGTATCTGCACATGGCCTATAGAAGAAATGCCTTGTAACTTGGTTCTAGTGAGTTTTATCCAAGAAATCATTCTCTTCTAATGTTTTCTCAGCTTTGCAACATTTCCTGTCAATAAGAACTGAATTGTGTACTTTTCCAACTAAAGATGGAGAAAGAGAAGTTAAGATGATCTACAGTCGACGTAATTTTCTTTCTTGCCATCAAATACTTTTTGTTCTTCAATTTCAGTCTTCTTTCCTACCTCGCATACCTCAAATCATAACCAAGGAAGTGGGAGGTAGAAAGTGGTGCAAGCATAAATATTTTATCCTCCTAGGGGAGTAACAATCACAATTGCACAATGTGTTAGCATCTCATTTGAACATCACAACACATCTGTACAGGAGAAGAAATTGTAATCTTCATTTTATAGATGATGAGACCATGGTTTTCACACAAGCAGACAAACCTCGCAAGCAAGCAGAATAGCAAGAATTTTCATCTAACTTCATGTTTTTTCAAGATTTTAATTTTAGGATGGTAAATATGGGGACAAAAGTCTTCAGGAGATCCCAAATGCAGAAAACATCCCTCCACATTAATTAACAAGATGTATTTATGCATATATGCTACCAAGCAACTATACAGACACATGCATATATTTACATTATTGTCTTTTCTGCCCAGTGAATCTGAAAGCATGTTGAAGTTCTGCTATTGACTGGGAGAAAACAGGTGCAGAGAGTAGGTGAATTGTCCTTGACCACCTAATAAATGAAAAGTTATGTCAAAGAGAACTATTGCTCTATAATGTGGAAATGTTCTTGCTAGTGATGCGTTAATTTTAACAAAATGTTACCATAATGAAGCAGCATATTTAACTCATGGAGGTTTTTTTATAGCAGTACTCTGTATGTGCAAAGTAAAATCTGATGGTATCTCCAAATAGAATCTTTACCATCCCCCTTTTTGAAACAAAGAACTTCAAGGGCAGAGTGGGAAGGTTTTAATGATAAAAATATAAAGAGTAGGATTCCTATGATCTTTAACCAAGAATGAGCTCAATTTCTTAATTTCTTACCCTCTAAGATATTCTAGTTCTTAAGAAATCAAAGATACTTTAACATCTAAGATAATCCTGGCTGCCCAAAAATTTCAGTTCTTGAGAAATCAAAGATACTTTAAGATATAAAATAATGCTGAATATCAATCATGGAGAATTATCTTTTCCTTTTGTGATTATTTTACTTTGGTAAACAATTTTTTTCAGTGCTCTTATTAAAGATCGTTTTTAATTAAGCTGAATCAAGAAATTGATGGCATGTTGCATGCATTTTGCTCCAGGGAAACTTCCCCATTTTGAAAGAACCTCAGGGCAAGCCTTGCATGAAGAGATTAGTATTGAAGTGAAATTTACAAGCCATCAGTCTAATCTTGCACTCTGGGTAGGACTGTCATTTATAACATACCTGAGAAGTGGCTAGGTAGTGTCTACTAGAATGTGACCTATGACACAGAGCTCACTGCTTTACACAGTAGTCCACCCCTCTGTGCAACAATTCTCATCATTTGATGGTTTTTTCTTATTTTGAATAAAAATTTATCTACTTTGAACTTTCTTCAAGACCTGGCTCCTGAACTGGCACAAAGCCCTCTCTTTCTATACATATGACTTTTGAAGACTTGTTTCCTTGCTTTGAGTGTTTGTTCTGATGAAATACCTTTGGCTTCTTTCATTTGTCTTCCTGAGCCTTGGGTTCAGATCTGTCAATATCATCCCTCTAGAAGAAAGCCCTCTTGCAAGAGATTTCAATTCACTAGTCTCTCTTTTAAATTGCGTACCTTAAAATTTATGCAGTCTTTGGTAACTTTCAGAAACTGTTGCTGCTGAGAAATTTCCCTTGATTTATAAGCAAGCCCTTTCACTCACTGCGCTCTCTTTTGGTGGTGGTGGCTCTGTGATCTGGGAACCTACCTTTGCCAAGGTCTCATCATCCAGGTGATTCTTCTGAATCACATGTTGAAGTGCAAAATAAATTTTTTCCTGAAGCTTCTGGACCTTCCTTGGTTCTATAAGCCAGGCTCGGTCTGATGAAAGAAAGAGTGGATAAGTGGAGGGAACATCAACTATGTTTTGCTTCACCCACATATATATGTGCCAAGTTTCAGACTCATTTCATATTACTTAGTTATAAGTTGCTTCTGAAGACATGTCATTATTTACATAAAACAGAAGTATTTCATAGGCAATACCGTGATGACAGGAAAGCACAATATTATGACATAGGAAATCAGTTTGGAGGAAAGGACACAATGGTTCAGATAATCAGCTTCTCTGTTTCTTATTGTCTGTGACAATTTACATCTCTCACTCTTTGCTTTGGACATATGCTTAGGTTTTCTTTCAAAGTAGAAGTTAGCGATTTGTGAAGAAGAATTATAGAAGTGAAGAAAATCACAGGAATATTTTTGGTGTTCAGGATCCCTTTTCCTTTTCTCAGCTTATTCTCTCATCAGATATAAAGCTGAAGCTATGTTAGAATTTATATAGCATAAACACAAATCAGTTTCAAAAATTCACTTCTAAGTTCTATTTTCCTATATTGAATTTTTAAATGGTGAATAGGATAATCCCTCCTTTCCTTCCTCCCTCTCCTCCTCTGTTTCTCCCTCCCTCAGACCCTCTCTCCCTTCTTTCCTTACTTCCCTCCTTTCTTCCTCTCTCTTTTTCTCCCTCCCTCCCACACTTCTTTCCTTCTCTCAAGCCCTCTCTCCTTCAATCTCTCCTTCACACTCCTCTTCCTTCCTAGAAGATTTATTATACATCATGGTGACAAAATTCAGCCCAGCATCAATAACTTAGGTTGGACTTTTATTGAAGAGAAACCCCAAATCTTCAAATGCTGAACAAATACTCATGGAAAAGAACTTGAACATGATCTTCCTGAACACAGTTCAGGTCAGGTGAGAAACTCGATTCTGTAATCCTAGACAGGATGAAGACAAGTCTAGCCAACAATTAAGCAAACCCTTACGTAAGTGAGTACAAAAGCTTTCAGTGACAATTGTCAATCAGAATACATTAAGTTCCCCTCCCTCTCTCTTCCCTAAGCTGTTTGGAGCTGAATAAACAGTGGCTCTTATGTCAGGACCCTGGAGAAAGAATAGGGGGTGGTCTGGCAGGAGATGGAGCCTACATAGGCTGGAAATCTGTCTTCCCTCTCTTTTTGAATATGGCACTAAGCCAGGGTGGCAAACGAGGTATTTGGAGTTCGTGAAGCCTTTCAGTGTGGGTCTGCTAGCAGCACTGAAAGAGTCCCCACTAGATACAGTAAACCAAATTGCATGCTTCCAAATGTCTCAGAATTTAATGGTGATAGTATGTTTTTTTTTTTTTTTCCCTAGAAAAAGGCCAAACAGCTCAGCTGATTTCTAACTCAGAAGGAACAGGCTTAGCTTTTCTTCTAGGGTGATCATTTTCACAGATCATTCGTATTTAATATTTCATATCTTAAATATTTGCTGCTTAAAATTTACTGACTTGCCACAAATATACCCAAAGAGAAGAGTGACTCTAACGCTTCCTTTGAGCAAGCAGGGACCAGAGAGAAACCATCTCTCTGATCCATAGATCCACAGGCTTAGATTTAGTCTTCTATTGAACTATTCGCAATGGAAATGATCAAATGCAATGAGAAAATGGTAGAAGGAAAATTATTTGGCATGTGGCTGCTAACAGAGAAAAGTATTTCTTGTCACTTCTTCCTTCTATCTTTGTGCTTCCAAGCCTGGGAAACTTTCTAGGGTTTAAAAAAAAAAAGACCTAGAGGAACAGCTTGATTTTAGACAGAGCCATAAAAGAAACTGTTAGTAAAAACACTCTATGTGATAACTAATTTCCATTTTTGATAAAGTGGTTAAATAAAAAACAGTAGCAAATTAAAAATACCCTGATAAGACCATCAAGAATCATATTAGGAATAAAAAAGCCAAACAGGTAAAAACTGTAGACATTGGTATTATTGGAAAATATAGCTACAATGACATGTTAAAATTATAATATATAATCTTAGATCACAGGTAAGATTAATTTCTTCCAGCTTCATTGAAAAATATAGTAGGGCATATATAAAAAAAGAGATCTGGTCTCTACAAATAAATGGATAACGGAATGAGTCTCTTGACCTTAAAAATTAGGCAGGAATTTATTTTTCTTTCTATAGAGAACTGTCGGTGATGCTGTTATCCATTAGCCCAAAATTAAACCAAACAACAGCTGAGTAAGTAACTGAATTCTCATTCTGGCTAGAGAGCCATGTGTTTTATATTATTGTTGTTATATTATTATGATTATATTATTTATTATTGTATTTTAAGCTGGCATATACTTTTTTTTGAGGCAGAGCTTCACTCTTGTTGCGCAGCCTCACTCTTGTTGCCTAGGAGTGCAATGGCACGATCTCAGCTCACTGCAACCTCCACTCCTGTGTTCAAGTGATTCTCTTGCCTCAGCTTCCCAAGGAGCTAGAATTACAGGCACCCACTACCATACCCAGCTAATTTTTATGTTTTTAGTAGAGACAGGGTTTCACCTTGTTGGCCAGGCTGGTCTCAAACTCCTGACCTCAGGTGATCCGCCCGGCCTCCGCCTCCTAAAGTGTTGGGATGACAGGTGTGAGCCACTGCGCCTGGCCTGGCATATACTTTTAAACAGCATTTTACTCATTATAATTCTATCCATAAATATTGTCACACCTTGAATTGTTTGAAAACTTGGCATTTTAGTGCATTTTAAAGCTAGTAGATGTCTTAGTTATTATGGAGTCCAATCCTCTTACTTTATAGATGAGGAAACTGGGGCTCTGAGGGGTCAAATGTTTAATATCACACAGATAAATGGTCACAGAGCTGGTACCAGAATGTCTACCTCCATGTCTGAAGTTCTTCCTCTTCTACTGGGCAGCCTTCAGTATGAGTCATTTTCCCCTCTGCCATCCTTATCTTTTTTTAAAGTGCCTGATACACTTGAACCTTCTACAACATGGGTTTGAACTACATAGGTTCATTTATATGAAAATTTTCCTTCTGTTTCTGCCACCTTAGGATGGTGAGACCAAACCCTCCTCTTCCTCCTTTTCCTCAGCCTACTCAGCATGAAGATGACCAGGATAAAGACCTTTATGATGAGCCGCTTCCACTTAATGAACAGGAGATCTGTTTTCTCTTGCTTATAATTTTCTTAGTAACATTTTATTTTCTTTGGCTTACTTTATTGTAAGAATACAGTATACAATACATTTAACATGCAAAATGTGTGTCAATGGACTGTTTATGTTATCAGCAAGGCTTCCCGTCAACAGTAGGCTATTAGTAGTGACATTTTTCAGAATCAAAATTTACATGCAGATTTTTGACTGCATGTAGGGGTTGGTGCTCCAACCCCTGCATTGTTCAAGGTCAAATGCATTGCTAAGAAAATACACACCACCATTTGTCTGACGTGAGCACACCAACATGAATTTGGGCAAAGATGCCACCATAAAAGGTATTTAAAAAGTAGAAAGTGTATCTAAAGAGTAGAAAGTGTTTCTTTTACTTATGTAGGTCCCCATTCTGGATCTTTCATTTAGGTACATTTCTACTGCATCTCATCCAACTGGACATTTATTTTCTATGTACTTTATTCTTAAAGTCAAAAATAGAACTTGGCTGTAACTCAGGCCACTATTTGTCTTCCTTTATTTGTTAAGGAACAATTCTGCTTATCTCAATCAGGAATGATCCCTACCCTATGCTCTATTCTTGCGCTTGGGCCAAAATTGGTCATTTTAATAAAATGAGGCTACTTCTCTTTGCATTGTCCAAAAATACCAAAAGCTTGGTAAAAAATACACAGTTCTGCTAAAGTTTATCCTGAACACTTTGGCTTAGACAGGTGTCATCGACGTTAAAAATAATAAATCCAAGTTTTTAAAAAAGGTAAGAGAACTGAGACTGCCCTACCTGGAGATATCAGAACAGCAGATGAGAACAAAGCGATCTCCTCCTCAGTCAGCTGCAAGGAACACAAATTCTTTGCAAAGTCAAATGCTTCATTCACTAGGTCATCAGAACCTATAAAGGAAGAAGGAAAATTGAAGAAAAATACTTGAACTTGAAATGGGTCAAGAGTAAGAAAATTCTCATAATCAATAAGCTGAGTGCACACTAGACTTCTAGAAAATATATTTTTAGGTTTCTAATTATAAATAGTAATTTGATACTCATCAAAAATGAGAAAATTGGGCAACATCTTGGCCAGGCCATCAAAGTTAACATTACCAATGACGAACAAGTAGACTTGGTGTGTGAGCAGTGTGACATCTGTCTGGGAATCTATAATCTGATTATATTCTTATAAATTTGAAATGACTTCCCATTAAAGAATATGAAACAAGTGATTTGGGGATCCTTTACAATAGGGGTAATATTCATAGAAAAAAACATTACAATAGGGGCTGAGGATTGTCAGTCTTTGTAGCACTTGAAGCTAGCAATGCAGGGTATTTCAGGCTTTTAGATTGAGATGTTAGAAATATCTTGCAGAACAGAGTTGAGATACACTTCAGGTTAGCAATTTCCTTGGGAATTTGATTGAGGAGCTAGAGTTTACTTATTTTTACCTTCTAATGAATGACTCATAGATCAGTTGCTTAGCTGTTGTGAATTTTGGCAAAATAACGTTGCAGCTCTACACTGATCCCTGGTAAATGTTTATTTGATGAAGCTGGAAATATACTGAGGTTGCTTGCCAAGGCTTTTCCTCCTTTCCTGAAAATCTAGCCTTAGAGATGACATGGATGTGTATCAACTGTAGAAGGGAAACATTGCCAGCCCTGATGTTTGTTGGCTGCCATATCAGCTAACAGCACAAGAGGTGAAAGGGCAGTGGCCTTCTTTGGTGTCCGTGGGCAGGATATGGAACGAATGGCACCATCAATCGTTAAAACCTTTCCTGGCATCAGCCCATCTTTGCTAATGTTCTTGCTATCCATGCCATGTACTGATGACTGGATGTGATGATACACAACACTTCCAAACAAAGACTGACTCTGTTAGTGCCTTCCCACAGGAATGGTTTGGAATCATTTCGGACAGGTTGGCATGAGCTCTCTGTGCTCCCAGAACCTCATGAATTAATCTCTGTGGGTGAGAAACAAGTAGAGGAACTCCTCTTTTAATTAAGTATCTTAACTCATGATGATAAATTTACATAAGAAACATCAGAGGTCACCCCCATGGATGACTGGTGGTTGACACAATGCACAAGAAAGTTGACCAAAAGAAGCTGATTTTATAAAGAATGTTTTACAATGCAGCCCAGCTCTTTTAGCATCAATCTCTAGTTATTTCTTCTTCTTCTTCTTCTTTTTTTTTTTTTTTTTTTCTGGGTCTCACTTTGTCACCCAGGCTGTAGTGCAGTGGTGTGAACATGACTCACTGTAGCCTCAACCTCCCAGGATCAAGTGATCTTCCTGCTCAGCCTCCCAAGTAGCTGGGACTACAGGTGTGTGTCACCATGCCTGGCTAATTATTATTATTTTATTTTTATTTATTTATTTTTCAGATGGAGTCTTGCTGTGTCACCCAAGCTGGAGTGCAGTGGCATGATCTCAGCTCACTGCAACCTTAGCCTCCTATGTTTAAGCAATTCTCTTTCCTCAGCCTCCCAAGTAGCCAGGATTACAGGTGTGAGCCACTGCACCTGGTGATGCCCAGCTAATTTTTGTATTTTTTTGTTTGTTTTGAGATGGAGTCTCATTCTGTTGCCAGGCTGGAGTGCAGTGGCATGACCTTGGCTCACTGCACCCTCTGCTTCCTGGATTCAAGCAGTTATCTTGTCTCAGCCTCCTGAGTAGCTGGGACTATGGGCGCATGCCACCATACCCAGCTAATTTTTGTATTTTTAGTACAGACGGGATTTTGCCATGTTGCCCATGCTGGTCTTGAGCTCCAGGGATCAAGCAATCTGTGCCCCCTGACCTCCCAAAGTGCTAGGGTTACAGGCATGAGCCACTGCACTGGGCCTTGACTTATTTCTGAATGAATGATGTCTCAGTAGGGTTGTTCTCAGGAGGGCCCTTGGTTCTCTCTTTCTTTTGTATTGGGGGCCACAGTTACAAGATCAGGAGAGGCTCGTCTGAATGAGAAGCTCACCAGGTCCATCTCTTATGGAATAATGAGATACTGGTTCACATCAAAGAATCAAGGCATTTCATTTACCAATTTCAATCTAAGTGGAGAAACTGATGGTAGCTAATAAAATTGTGTCCTCATCAAAGGGAAACTTACCTAAGGCTTTGAACATTTGCATCCCTCCATATTTTCCTTCAAACAGAACAGTGTTGTTTAATGGGTTGAAGGCACGGCACATTCTCACTAAAACCACTTCCAAGCAACCTATGAGTAAAAAGTAAAAATAAAAATATACAGATAAATTCAATAATAAAGAGGTTATTACTGCGTATAGGCAATGGACTTTCAAGAACTTTAAAACACACAGACACACACACAGAAATCCCTTAAGTTTCTTCCTCAAAAATAACTATTAGTTTGGTGGAAAAATAATTGCAGTTTTTGCTATTAAACATAATGGCAAAAACCTAATATATTTGTACCAACTTAATATATTAGAACTCTTGATACTTATATGAGGAATTAAGGAGAAAATATACTTTATAGGTGGCTAAGCTGGAGGGCATAGACATTACTTTGTGAAAATACATTTCTCTCTATTTTTTGACTAATATTAAAGCTACTTTCAATTCTTGAATTCACAATTGATGAAATGAGGGCAGGAACTCTGTCTGCAGTGATATGTAGCCATAATTATTGTATTCATTCTTGCATCTCCAGGACCAAGAAAAGTTTCTGGCACATAGTAGGTTCTTAGCAAATATTTATTGAATGAATTTGTTTACTACCATTGTTCTTGCCTTTGAGCATTATTAACATCCTGAGGAAATACTGCTGCATAATGTCTACTGGAGAAATGGGCTTTTGCCCCGTAGTGCAGTTGAAGTTTACAGCCAGACTCAGCAGCCACAGATGTACATGGGAGCATCATACTGGTGATTAGCCTACAACTTTGGTACCTGTCTTATGGCACCACTTTATCTTGATGTCACTGTTTTAGCTCCTTTGCTATATGTATGTTTGATGATTTCTCTCTGCTTGTCTTTGGTATGTCACCTAGAATAGAGGCTTATACATAGGGGATAATTAGCAAATATCAATTGAAGGAATGCTTTTCTGACACAAACAGTAGATGGGTACCATTTATTAAGTATCTACACAATGGAAGGAACTTTCTTTGGCCTCTTACATTTATTTTTATGTTTGCTCCTTACAATAATTATGTCAGGTTTATTAGCTCTATTTATGGAGGAGTTACACAAGGGTTGAAAATATTAAGTACCTCGCCTTTTTTACCAGAGTGCTAGAGTCAACATTTTTACACCATGTAGAGATGTTAAAGATTATATGGCTCAGTGGTTCCAAACATCAGTCATGGGTTGGTTATGTCTGAGTCTTAGAGATACAGTGAACTGGGTTCCCCTCCAGGAGATTTGGATTCCATAAGACTCATGGTGCCTATGTCACTGAACTGCCAATAATCTCCTTTGATGTTGTTGATGCAATTCCAAGTTTGGAGTTCATTGTTTCTAGTCCATCTCTTTATTTTACAAATGAAGAAACTGCTATCTAGAGAGTTTAGCTCAAGGTCACATATCAAGTATGGCAGATTTGACTTTTCAAAGAGGATCAGATAGATACCTTCCATCCCATATGTTTTCTAGGACCTTACCACTCTCCTATCAAGTAGTAGAATCCATGTCTCCTATCCTTGAATCCAGGTTTACCTTCATGACTAATGGTTAATAATGGAAATAACGATATGTGTTTTCTGAAAATAAGTTAGAAAAATCTATGCATTTCTGTCTTGTTCTTTTGGGGCGCTAGCTTTTGGAGCCTAGTGATTATGCTGTGAGCAAGTCCAAGCAGTCTATGGAGGGTCTCACATGGGGAGGAACTGAAGCCCCCAGCCCAGATCCTTGGCTAAACTCTAGGCTGTCAACAAGCACAGCCCACCAGTTGTATGAGTGAACCAAGCTGAAAGTGGATTCCTCTGCCCTGAGCTGAGTTGACTCAGTGAATACCACATGGAACAGAGTTAAGGTCATCCCTGCTGAGCCCTGCCCAAATTTTAGCTTTGAGAGTGAAAGAAATGATTTTTCTTGTTGTTGTAATTAAATTTTACAGTGGTTTAGATTAATGGTACATCAGTTTGGCACTTCAGTCAAGGTTTTCATAAACTTGCATCATTTGGTAAAGAAGGAGCAATATCTTAGAATAACAGTTATATTTGGCCCAAGTTTAAATTCCAACTTTGCCATGTACTGGTTTTGTAATATTGAACATAGCTCTTTGCTTTTCTGACTCTTTTCCTCTTCCTCCGTACGATGGAAATAATAACATAGATCTCACAAGACTACTTGAGATATCATAGGGAAACATAAACATATATGTATGCTATTTTATATATGAGTATGTTATTGTTATTACCATGACCTAGGACCATGAAAATTTGCATAAACACCATCATGGTTCTTATTTGCTATTTTCAAAGGGGCCCAAGAAAGACAAATAATTTCTTTTTCCTGTTTGGTAATAACATCTGCAAAGTCAATCGTATGCAGAGTTTCTTGAGCTACTTACGAAGCGATTGTGTGTGTCAGAGAGTGTGCGAGGGAAGGGTGGGGAAAGATTAGAGTACCGTGGAGTTTCTCCTGGTGTGTGCTGGCTGCAGGCTATCCTCATTAAAATGATTGGAAATGACCACAGAGGCAGAACTCAGCTAGCCTGCATTTTTTTCCCTTCACAGAAGGCAAGGAGTACATTTTAGCGCCGGCTCAGCAATTCAGCCACCTTGACACGCTAATTACTTGCACTGCCTGTCAAGCTGGGTATCTCAACCTCCGCAATTAATAGCTCCACTTTCAATAAGCAAAATTGTATTTGACTTCAAAGGGGAACTGAATGAGTATCAAGGCATTTTTATTACTGAGAGTTTCCTTTGGGAGTTGGCTGACAATGTGGGTGGTAAAAACGAGCTGCATATTGGAAGGAGGATTTTCTAGAACCAACACAGTGCTAAGGGCCGACCACATCCTTGTCTGAAATAGGCCTCCCATGAATATTCTTGCTTACCTGACTTCAGAAGTAGAATTTGATCATTTTGACAGAGCTCCATGAAGCCTGTTATCCGTTTTGCAAACTCCACCACGTATTGGATGGCGTGAGTGATCTGGATGGCACATTGTTGCCACAGTGCTTCCCTGGACTTCAGGAGAGAAGACACAGGATGTAAATGGGGGAAACAACTTATGGAGAGTCAACAGAACATTCAGGTTTGCCTTACTGGTGCTTACCTGTCACTTGGGGCCCAAGGGGGTAATTTACGTGTTTCTTTTAAAAGAGGAGGGTACTACTTTTATTTTTTTTCCCCTTGATAATATTTTGACCTGTTTGGACGTCAATATGCCACAATTATCAAAGTACTGGGGTGAAAATAATAGCAACACTGTTTATAGAATGTAGGATAGCTTCGTTATTTTCTTTACTATTTTTTCCTCTCTTTCTCCCTCCTCACTTAAAGCCTGACTTTGTAAAGAAAATAACAAATCTATCTTCACATACTATTAATATAAAAAACAAAGGTTTGCACTGAGGGATAGCGATTTCATTCACAGGCTTCCATGACGTCATTTTAATGGGTACCTGATGGACACTAAATTTGTAATATTTTTATGTTGTGTCTTTTTTTTCTGACCTACAGAAATTGTTTTTTGGTATAAAAAGAGTGCTGAGGAAAAAGGCATTACATCAAATCAAATCATTCTCCTAAGTTAAATAGAATACCCCAAATATATTTGAGTCTGTGGGTTATTTTCTGAAATGAGAAACATAAATCTGTATGTGTGAATTCTACTTTTTATTGACCATACAGAGATAATACCTTTGTTTCCCTATTTATATGAAAGTACTAAGATTTAATTGTTCTGGTGGAGAAAAATCAGCATATTGTAAACATTTATTTAGATACACACACATTTACATATTTTATTAAAATTCCATCTACTGGTAGATCCTGTAATTGGGAATCTCTATCCCAAAGTAACATAATGTGACTCCTGGAAAACAACAATAAATTCCTCTTAAAAACTTCTTCAGTAAACCCAAAGAAATAACATAATGTAATAATAATCATTTGGGATGAGCTGTCCCTTTTTTTGGATTCTTTTAAACATGTAGGACAAGAAAAAAAGTTAGAAAGTTTTGTTCCATATATTTGTTGTGTAAGTTTGTGATGATTACAACTGCTATGATTACTACATTGCTCCTGCTTCTTGCGTTGACCCAAGAAGTCACCAAGAGATGTCCTAAAATCATTTGATGAAGGCACACTCTCTGTAGTCACTCAAATAGGGCAGTGGTTTTCAATCAGGGTAGTTTTGCCTCCTTGGAACAGTTGGCATTATCTGGAGACATTTCTGGTTGTCACAAATGTGGGTGAGGGTGATAACACATCTAGTGGGTAGAGCCAGGGATGATGGTTAAGTAGCATATAATTTGCAGGATGCCCTTACAGAAAAGAATTGCCCAGCGCAACATGCCAATAGTGCTGAGATTAGCAAGACAGACATAGGGTAATCATGGAAAAAGGTTCTCGTGGTTTCCAGAGTACCTTGCTTTGATACGCTTTAATTTCTTCATAGGTGTGGGTCTGCCATGCCAGCTGGTGCAGCTCTTCCATGGTATATTGACATGTTTCCAAATGGGACTTAATGATGTTCTGTGCAATTCGATCTGTGAGAAAAGATATCAGTTCAAAGGTTTGTGAATAAAATCACTCTGCTTATTAGGTTTCAATGTTTACTATAAGAATGCCTTTGCTATCTATCTTAAAATCTTCACACAAACTCTTTATTGCCTTTTTTCAATTGTCAGGATTTTAATCTTAATTTACTGCTTTCCTCAGATGTTTTTGATCACAACTTAGGGGTTTTACAAGTTGTAAACCATTAAAAGGTATTTATTTATAAAAAAGATAGAAAATTATAATATTTTTTGCTTTTTGGCTTGAAAGTCAACTAACAGTCTTAATATTTGCACTCCAAATACTTTAAAATATTTTGAAAATCACTGGAACCCTATTGTTTATCTCAAAAAGGAGGAATTAAAATATAAATTTATGTTTTTTTTTTAAAGGAAGCATTAAACAATAAACTTTTTAAAAATAGGCCGAGTAAAGAGGAAATAGGGAATAGAATGCAGGGACAAGGAAAGAAATTAAATTTTCTGATAATACTATGTTTGTAGATTTGACTTTGGGGCAATGTAAATATCTGTTGTAATTAATAATAAAAGAGGTGGTATACACAATAAAATACTGGCCTATGAGTTGATAGTGATTGGAATTGGGTCATAGGGACCATTATATTCTCCTTTTAAATTTTTTATATAATAAACTTTTTCTTTTACAGAAAGTTTAAAAATGACAAAATGATTTTTTTCACAAAAATTGGTAGCAAACACAATTGGTCTTTTTGGGCTGTTTATCCTAATCGAGTTGAATTTCATATTGTATCTTAAATACCAATCATTATGAGTTTGGAGGCAACAAAGTTGAGCAATAGAACCAGACATAAGAGCTCTCCTTAAGAAAAGCCTGCTGTGAGTCCCCTGAAGGCGGCTAGAACTAGAAGGAGGTCCCTTATAATCCCACCTGCTAGTTGAACACACGCAGAAGGTGACAACTTAGAAAACCAAACTATTCAGGATTTCTGTATGTGGGATGTGAATGGAATGAATATGACCAAATCTTCCCAATACCTGCTCTTGGGTCATACATAAATAAAATTTTTCTTGTATTTCAGATTGTTCCATTTCAAATGTAAGTTCTGTTCTTTCTAAATGGCCAGCCCTGATTCTCCAGGATAGCCCTCAAAGCAGCGTTTGGGTGTCTCCTTTTATCTCACTGAGCTTCTGGTATATAGGGTACAAAGTAAATCAAATTTTAGACAAAGTAAATCAAATTTTAGTAATGTAGAGACAAAAATGTAAATTTAACCTTCTAATAAATTTTCTAAATAAAAATCTCCTATAGACCATTGCCTGGCACATTGGAGACACTGAATAAATGGTAGCCACAGTTATCCTTCTTAGGACAGTCTGCATAGTTTGTCATCAGAGGAGCAATATGATGACTCCAGTGGAAATGAAATTCAGTGGAGATATTTAATTCTGCAATCGTCTTACTGAAGAAATATATTTCAATATTTGGTAGAATTTTTCAATCAAAATGAAGTGATATATGTAGAAGATGCTACCAAATGGTAACTTCTGATGACAGTTCTACTGTATTGGATTCAACATTGACATTTCTAGGCTTGCACTGCTTATGATTTTGATTACAAAATCTTTTCTTTAAAAAATCCTGTATTCAAAGTTTTATTGAACATTCTCCTATGGTATAGAAAGGTAAAAATTACTCTATCCATCACAGTAAAATAGATTGGTATGTCATGGTTCATCATTTTTCAATTTCACCTGGGCAGTGTAATTACTTAGAATCTAAAAAATATACTTGTTTTGCAGTTGGTATATAATGAAAACATAAGATTTTATAGCTCTATAGTTTTCAAACTATTATCTTCTTGGTGTAGTTTGTTTTCATCTTCAAAGACATGCTGATTTGTTGGTAATTTATAGGCTTCAGGATTTATAAACAAGGCTATCATTGCCACTCACAATTGTATTATGAAAAACTCTATCTGTTCCTTTATGATATCTGCCTGGAACTGTTGGCCAAAGCTTAAGAATTCTCTGGCCTTCTCATATCAAAATTTAGGATTCTATGGTTTATGAGGAAGGGTAGGTACAATAAAAACATGGGAAGGTTAAGGAAAGAGAAAATTAAATCCACATGCCTGCTTCAGGACTCAACTCAGATGGCCATGCCTGGTGAAAGTTTCCCTGCCTCCCAAGTTCTCAGGAAGAAGGGCTGGCTGCCATCAGACTTTGATTCTGCCTTAATTGGGCCCTTATTGCAGTGAGACTCGTACTGTGGTTTTTTGAATCCCTCTGTCCAACACCCTTTAAGATTATGAGCTCTTCAAGAACTGGGCAGAAGATCCCAGCATAATGCCTTCATATATTCACTCAACAAATATTTTTGAGAAGATACTGTATTTCCTTCCTTCCCTCCCTCCCTCCCTCCTTCCTTCCTTCCTCTCTTTCTCTTTCTCTCTTTCTTTCTTCTTTCTTTTTTTGACCAAATCTCACTCTGGTGCCCAGAATGGAGTGCAGTGGCACAATCTCCACTCACTGCAACCCCCGCCTCCCAGCTTCAAGCGATTCTCATGCCTCAGCCTCCCGAGTAGCTGGGATTACAGGTGCCCACCAACATGCCTGGCTAATTTTTGTATTTTTAGTAGAGATGGGGTTTCCTCACCTTGGCTAGGCTGGTCTCGAACTCCTGACCTCAAGGGATCTACCTTCAGCCTCCCAAAGTGCTGGGATTACAAACGTGAACCACTGTGCCCAACACTTGCCTTTATTTTAAAGCATCTTACAATACTTTAATTTTATATCATGATGCAATAAATGCCCACAATTATTGTGGGAGCCCAAAGAAGAAAGTGGCTAACTCAGTCTGGGGGTGGGGGCGGGAAAATAACTACAGAGGAGATGCCTGAGTCTTGACGGTTGAGCACAGTTTGTCACATGGAGAAGAGAAAGATGTGCCCCAGGTAGAGGGAATGATGTTATGAAGGCACAGATAGAAAGCCAGCTCTAGGCTAGGTAATTTCTGACATTACATCTTACATCTTTACAACCTCTACTTCTTTTTTTTTTTTTTCAGTCCAGGGGTCTTTTATTTCTTTAACACCTTTTATGCCATGAATTCACCGGGAAGAGGTTCCAGCAGCTCAGGCTCCTTCCCATTGGTTCTCACACAGTGTGCTTCTCTGGGTGGAGCAGGCTGGCACTTCAGATGAACCCAAGTACCTTTCTCTTTGGCTTCTTTCTTTTTCTAATCATTTTCCTTCACACGTTTCAGGAAGCGATCTCGGCTCTTAGAGTACTTGATGTGCTCAATACGCACATTAATTCTCTTGGCAAGAATCTTGCCCTTAACTTGTTTGTTTACAACAATGCCAACAGCATGCTGGGTAACATTGTAGATTCTTTCAGTTTTGTCGTGATAAAATTTGTGGGACATTCCTTTTTGAACAGTACCCATTCCCTTGATGTCTACAATATCACCTTTCTTACAGATTCACATATACGTGGCCAAAGGAACAACTCCATGTTTTCTAAAAAGCCTAGAGAACACATATAGAGAGTGCCTCTCCTCTTTCCCTTTGTGTTCATCATTTTGGCGAAGTACTGGAAGAAGGCAGTTCCCTACAACCTCTACTTCTTTATAATCAGTCTCTGCTTTACTGAGGATACAAGTGATGTTTAGAAAGAGCGAGTGAGTCTAGACAAGTTTCTGTGCAGCTAGTAAGATGTTTTGAAACCAAGTCTGTCTTTCCTGGCTAGAAGTCTTGTGTATTTGCAACAGAGGGTGCAAGGAAGAGACAGGGAGAAATAAGACTAGGGTAGATGAAATTTGTGACTAAAGTAGGCGCATCTGAGTAAGCAGGCCAAGGAATTTTATCTTGTATGAGTTTTGGATTTTATCTCTGAATGTTACCAATTCAGAGGTAACTGGTAACCAGCTGAAGCTGTAAAGTAGGAGAGTGATATGGTCTGTTTTTTGTCTTATTTATTTATTTTTGAGACAGGGTCTCATTCTGTTGTCCAGGCTGGAGTGCAGTGGCACGATCATGGCTCACTGCAACCTTCACCTCCCAGGTTCAAGTGATTCTCCTGCCTCAGTCTCCCAAGTAGCTGGGACTATAGGCCTGTGCCACCACACCTGGCTAACATTTGTATTTTCAGTAGAGATAGGGTTTCTTCATGTTGGCCAGGCTGGTCTCAGACTCCTGACCTCAGGTGATCCACCCGCCTCAGCTTCCCAAAGTGTTGGGATTACAGGCATGAGCCAGCATGCCCAGCCTTGGTTTTTCTTTTAGAAAGGTGACTTTGGTCATGGCAAAGATGAGATGGCATTAGTGAGTACATGAAATTAATCAGGCTGTTGTGAAAATTCAGGCAAGCTATAAGGAAGGTCTGGACTAGGTCATAATGACAGAGATGGAGTGAAGGAGCTAGATGCAAGACAATTTTGAAGAACAATACATGGGACCAGCAGATGTGGCACAGAGAGAAAATATTAAATACAGTGAGTGCTCAACCAATGCTGAGTTAGTGAAGATAATGCTGAAGATGTCCATCCATTCTTCCTTCAATTGTCTGCTTTATTTCACAAAGGATTTGAAAAGTTAAGATTGACCCTTTGATGATTTTAAAGCCTAAGTACTCAGAATGGATTTGAAGTCGAATAGTAAGCATGCAAAATTCTTTCCCATATCCTTGTGGTGGGAAATACAAGTCAAATGTCTTTTGAACGTAAGACTTATTATAAATGGCAATGAAGGCAAACGCATAGTAGCAGCAATTGCAGACACTTTCCTCCTCCACTTTCTCTCACTGTTCTGCAGTGTAGAGGTGAGCCTTGTGTAAAAACCGACCCTCTCAAAGCTCAGGTTGATACAAGACGTGGTTGCGCTAGACTGGGTCTCATGGGAGCAAGGCTGGAGGGCTCATTCTGTCAATTAGAAAGATGCTTGAATGTCCGAGGAGATGGTTTGCTTAGACTGAAAGTCTGCAGTTGTGAAAAGAGGAGAAGGATTTAA